TGACCATCCAATTTGGCTTTTTATTATCCTGTTTTGACATCCCATAAACGGATAGAGTTATCTTCACTACCAGAAGCTAATGTAATTCTATCAGGAGAGAAACAGACTGAGTAGACAGTTCCACTATGACCATCTAATTTTGCTTTTAATTATCCTGTTTTGACATCCCATATACGGATAGAGTTATCATTACTACCTGAAGCTAATGTATTTCCATCAGGTGAGAAACAAACTGAATTACCTGACCTATCGTGACCATTTAATTTGGCTTTTTATTATCCTGTTTTGACATCCCATATACGGATAGAGTTATCATTACTACCAGAAGCTAATGTATTTCCATCAGTTGAGAAACAGACTGAATTAACTGACCCATCGTGACCATCCAATTTGGCTTTTTATTATCCTGTTTTGACATCCCATATACGGATAGACTTATCATTACTACCAGAAGCTAATGAATTTCCATCAGGTGAGAAACAGACTGAATAAACATAAAAAGTATGACCATCTAATTTGGCTTTTAATTATCCTGTCTTGACATCCCATATACGGATAGAGTTATCATTACTACCAGAAGCTAATGTATTTCCATCAGGTGAAAAACAGACTGAGTTAATACAATTACTATGACCATCAAATCGGGCTTTTTATTATCCTGTTTTGACATCCCATAAACGGATAGAGTTATCACCACCTCCATAAGGACAACCAACACCAGAAGCTAATGTGTTTCCATCAGGAGAAAAACAAACTGATAATACATCAGATAAATGACCAACTAATTTGGCGATTTTTTTGTTAGTTTTAATATTCCATAGAAGGATAGATTTATCTTCACTACCAGAAGCTAATGTATTTCCATCATGAGAGAAACAGATTGAATAGACCTTTTTACTATGACCATCTAATTTGGTTTATTATTATCCTGTTTTGACATCCCATAGACGGATAGACTAATCATCACTACAAGAAGCTAATGTATTTCCATCAGGAGAGAAACAAACTTAGGTGACAGCCCTAATATGACCTTTTAATTTATTTAATTCATGGATTCTTAAATCTTTCCATTTACAATTTAATAATGATGCTCCATTCAAATTTATTCCACTTATATTAACATTATTAAATTAAGATCCGCTTAAATTGCATTTAACAAAATTAGCTCCTACCAAAGAACTATTTTTGATCTTAATATTTTCCAAATTTTTGTTTCTAAGGTCCACCTTCATCTAAACTAATATATGTAATGAATTAGACCCACAGTATATTAAAGTGTCATCTATAGATGTGAGGTGAACTAAAAATTCCAGAAATTCTATGATCTTTTTCGTATCCTTGATGCTTTAAATTAAACTTAGTTTAGATTCTTCATTTTCTTCAGAGGAAAAGTCTTTGTAATTGAAGTCATGATCTTTTAAATTTTTTAATACATCTGTAATTTATTTCATGTCATTTGCAATAACAGACAATTTTTATTCCTCATCAACTTGGGTGATATTCTCTATTTGTTGTAAGATTTATTATTCTAAATTTATTTGATTTCTATTATTAGAAAGATATCCAATACAATCTTAAACTCTTTCCTTTCTTAATATTTTTAATATGACTCCAAAGATATCTTCATCTACATTCTTAACTTTACTAAATATGTCAGCTAGAGCTTCCTTCTCTTAAAAAGAGCCTTGCATTTTCTTTTTTATATTTAATAATGAATTTCTATTACTCTAATTTTAAGTTATATACTACAAATCAATAAAATTATCTTGTGTATTTTTGGTAATTAGAAGCTTAGACTTTGTGGAGATTTTGAATTGATGATAGAAAAGGTAGAATAATCTATAGAGAAATCATTTCAACATCTGCATAGATTAATTCTTGAATAATATAGAATATCTTTATATTTAATTTAGTATTTTTATTGATGTATAATTTGAGTTCTATGATTGATTCATTCATTCTTGTTGATCATCACTGTTTAAGCATAATTAATGATTTCAGTTAACAATTAAATTTTTTCTGTTGATTCTTTAAAATACATTTAGATAAGTGAAATCATGAGTAAGAGAGTTAAAAAATTAGATTTTTTCTAAGTAGTATTAATAAATATGAATAGTTTGTTCAAGTATTTTCTTGAATGGCATTTTTCTCTCCGTTTACCTCTAATAGCATACGGATTAGGCTAATCCTTATTCCAGCTGGGGTTATAAAGAAGAGAGAAAGTAGATAAGTAGGAGTAAGTTTAAAGAGAAGATGTAGGAGGAGAAAAATGAGGAATTAAAATTATCTGAAGAATATAAAAATAATATTCATTAAGAAGATTGAATTTCTAAATTAAAAAATAATAATTTATGGAATAATTGTAAAATTAACTCATGTTTATAAAATTATATTTCTATTAATAAGGGATTAAAAACAGTTATAAACCTTTATTATTAAAATTATTGAAAAATTAGTCATTGTTAAATTATTGATGAATTACCATTTTGATTATTTAACACACAAATTCATAATACTATATATCATTGATTCACTCTCATTTATGGATATGTATAGCTATTTTGTTTCTTTTTTTCAATCTTTAAATTAGTCAATTTTTAATCTTGGGTAATTTTTTAATTTAACTGGTTGATGAGTTTATCTAAAGAATTCAGTTTTCAAAGCTATGAAGTGATGAGGGATACTTTTTTTTGACTAAATATTAATTAATTTCGTGAAAATCATCTTGAAGGAACAGTGATTATACATAATCTCAAAGTTTTATATATAGATTTTGAAAATTATTGTTGAAAGTTTCTTCTTTGAATGCATGTAAGAATTTATAGAAAGCTTGATTTAATCAGTATTTAAGATTCTTAAATGATTGTTAGGAAAGATATAATGATTATTTCCTTACATCTTAATCCTTTTTAGGGATATAATACTTATTAATGATTAATGTATCTTTCAGTCTTTAATGATATCTAATACTTTAAATATTAGTTGAAAATAATAATAAAAGGTTATGAAAATATTACCAAGAATAGAGTAGAGTAATTTTAAAAATCATTCAATTTCAAAGTTTTAACCTGGTGATAGGTTAGATTATTTATAAGATTAATTTTATTTTTGAATTCTTGAAATATATTTTTTATTATCCTTTTGATAAAATATATCTTTTACAATTTATGAATTTAAAACTTAATCTTACAAAATCATTAATTTATTATTTTTAATATCAATCCCTATTATTCTAAATAATAGAAAATCTATCATATTATATCCTAGATGATTTAAAAAGAATGTTGTGTAAAATTAGTTTTCTTTAGGTAATTATATCGATCTTTATTTTAAACTCTTTATTACTGTTCTCTTTTTGATTCTTAATTAAAAGTAGTATCATTTATAATTTAAATCTCTATCAATTTTAGTTGATAATAGCTTTTATGATGTTTAAATAAATAATCCCTATATATAACTAAAATAGAAAAAAATTAGAAAAATAAGAACGTACTTAGCTTTACAAAAACAAGTTGTTTATTGGATGCACACACATAACACAGGCAAAAAAAACAAGTACCTATCTGAAACGACAAATCTCTGCTGTATACCTTTTAAATTACAAAAACCTAACTCATATCCTTAACAAATTTAAAATAATATGGAAGAAACTTGAAATACTTAACAAGAATATTAAAATAAAATCTAATAATAGGAAGAAAATACAATAAACAAAAAAAACCTAAAGTATTAAAAATTAAACTAGGAAAATAATTGATGCAATAAAGAAAATATTAATCAAATAAAATAGAAGAATTAAATTATATGCCAGAAAATTCTAAATCAATAAAGTTAATATAGAGTCTTAATCATGTAATCTAAATTATGAAAGGATAAGTGAATAAAAGGAACAGGTAATAAGTAGTTTAGGAAATATCAGTGAATCAAAAGATAAATAATGATTTGAAGAATAGTAAGAAACCATAAAAGAACAGATTGGAGAAAAGACAATTCTAAAATAGAAGATAACCTAATAATCAGTGGCAAATTAAGTATGTTGCAAATGTAGATAGGAATACCAAAATGAGAAGGGATTAAAAATTAATTATTCAAAAATACATTAAAAAACTCTCGATCAGTGAATATGAAACAGATAAATTAATGAGTTGAAGTTTAGAATTTCGAACAAAAGAGTGAATTGTTTACACACTTTTTAAATAACATTAATAATAGTTTCCCCAACACAACCAGGCATGATGAATTAAGAATAAGTTAATCGAATGTGAGTTCTATTAAACAAACTACGTTATAAATATCCAAATAAAATTTCCCTCATATTATTTGTTTACAGAGGAGATAAGAGGAAAAATAATTGGAAATTCACCAATATATAATTTTATATGTAGATAGGATCAAAGTAATAACTAAGGCGGAATGGCTATTGGGATACATTCAATCAATTATGAAGACATTACTTTAAAGATTATTCCTCAGAATACATACAAGTTTGCTGTTCATTGCAAATCTGAAATAATTGATCTAATACTTTGTAACTTATATATCAATAAGAAAAATATCTTAAATTAAAAATAAACACTTATATAAAATAAGAGATTATTAGTTGAAAAAAAAGTATATTACATGAAAAATTTTTAAAAAGATATTCAATTAATGATTAATATTATGATGATTTCGGAGAGATAAATGAGCCTTAAAGAATTAACATAATAATATAATGCAAAAATCAAACCTAATTATTTCTTAACTTAGTAATTCAAAATACGATTAAAATTTTTTTATTCTAATTATTATAAAGAGATGAAATAATTAGATGCTTTCTATCAAGATGATTCAAATTAAATATAGTAAGAAGAGACAACAGGTGTACTTTAATATGAAAATGATCAATTATTCAAACCTCATTAAGGAAACAACTGCATGTTTAGATTTTATAATGGCCAGCCATGATTTACAATAGGTCCTAACTGTAATTCATTTTTATATGCAGGGCCTTTGAGTCTTTGAGCGATTATTTCTATAATAGTTGGAACTTATTTTATTAGCTCTATAATTCGCCTTAAATTAGATATATGGTATAGCTTAGGATCCATAATGAATGGCTTAATGTTGGAAGTATGCTTTCTCAGAGTTTTTCTCAAAAATTCTGGAGTTAATTTTAAATTACATTATGTGGCAAGAAGTGAGAGTATCAATTTTTTTTAATTAATTTGATATTTTAGAATCCTGCTAACTGTGCAAACTTATAAAAGAATAGGGAATTTATCATTGCTCTAAATGTGATATTTGTGTTAGAGGTTATGATCATCATTGTCCTTGGGTGGAAAATGCATAGGAGAAGCCAATATAATCAAATTCTAGATGTTCCTTCTTTCATTGTTATTTTTTTTCACTTGCAATTTAATTTTAGTAATGATTTGAAATTAATTATAATTTATTTTACAATTTTCAGTTGGCTTAAAACACCAGAAAAATAATGATTACCATAGAATAATTTGATGAAAAAAAAAATTACTCGATTTCTAACTAATAAATTCCTTAAACTATTCTCAGGTATATAAATAATTGAAATCAGGATAACACATATTCTCTTTTTTGGCAATACATATTTAATTTTATTAATAATAAATGACTATAGTGATGCCTACCATAAAAGCAATTTTCAAATCATTATTTTTTTAACTTCTAAGTTTTTTTAATTTTTTTACAGATGGATTTGGAAAAAAACCTACAATTAACTTGGTAACATCAAGCAGAAATAATATTTTAGATATTTGAATAACCATCATAAAATAATTTATTTACTCAATAAGTTTTCAATCTGTTATCTAAAGAGCATATTTATTTAGTTTTTAAATCATCAATTATCCAGAATCTTATAATAGCAATCTTGAATTTTTATTTTTAAGTTTCTCATTTCTTCCTTAGAATATAATAAATATGATAGTAATATCTAAAGAGTTGTATATAAAAAATATATCTATTCTAAAGTAAGTATTTGGATTGTTCATAGATTGTATGAAATAAATTGAAGAGATTCACACTAAAAAATATAATTCCTAATGTATTTATTTTTGTAAATGTAATATTCCTTAAGAATTCAAGCGAGTTCCATAAATATTGCATTAATAATTATAGTACATGAATAATTAAGTGGTAAGATATTTTAGTAAAGATGGTTAGTCTGATAATGTGAAAAAAACAATAGAAGCTTTATTATATTATATGCTTTAAAAAGCAGATTCTAGGATATTCAAATTTATTATCAAAAATATTCGGATCCCACTAATTTCTTGATGATATGCTATTAATTGCAAATAATCATTGATTTTCTTAAGAAAGGAAATCCTTATGTTGAATATATTGGTGATGCTAATTGTTAATCAAAGCTAAACTGCTTGTTTATAGAAGTAGTATACTAATTTATGCTTAATTGAATCATTAGTTCCCTGTTTAAGAATAAAACAGAAGTAGATGAAATATAAGTGTACATATTTATTTTGTTTTTTTTTTGAAATATCTTTATGCTTTTTGAATAGCTCTGCTTCTAAAACTTCAGGGAGTGAAACTATTATTATTTCAATTTTTTTTGAATATTCTTTAGAGGAAGAAATTCCACTGAAATTAAATTACCATCTCATTAAATCTTAGATATCTACTTCAGTTACCATTAAAGTACTTAAGATTAAAGATCTTAGATTTGATACAAAATTTGAAGTCAACTAAAAGAAATTATTTGAGATTAGTTAATATATTTATTAATTAATCATTAATTAGTATAAATATGAAAAATAAATCCACCCATCTTAATTTAACCTAATAAACTATATAATAAATTGATAATTTGAGTCATTAATATAAGTTATATAAATTCATAAATTTATACTCAATCCAAAGTTAAAACATTAATAATTGTTCTTGTGCTATTAATAATAATAAATTATTATAAAATTAAAAAAAACATCTTAGCCTTGATTACTAATTTTATAAATAGCTAAAAAATTGAAAAACAAGGATAGTAACAAAATATCAATTATAAAGTTATTGTTTTTTTGTGGAAAATAATAATAAATTCTAAATTTAGAAATACTTTAAAAATTTCCTAGTTTGAATTCATTGTTAATAATGATCATACATATATATCTAAGCTTAAGAAATAAATATTAATTTGTAATTGAAATGTATGCCATCACATCAGATTAGCACTATGATCTTTAATAGTATTCTCTAACTAACCATAAGCATTTTGAAAGAAATTCTTATTAAGTTCATTCGAATATTTAATCCTAATTTTGCTTTAATTCCAAATTGCAGGCAACATTACTTAAAATCTAAACATTTATAATCTTTACTGCTAATTAATATTCTACCTCCTATTTCCTTTGAGTTCCCTAAGTATTTTGACTATTGATTGTATTTTTTCTGTATTTCCTTAACTTCTGTAAGTTCATATTGGTAGATACTTCGAATAATTTTGCATAATTATAGACTTAATAGTTACCATTCATATAAATAATCAAAAGCCTCTGGTTTTGAATTTAATTTAAGTATTATCTCTAATTTTTAATAACTAATTAAATATTTTTTTTTTTTTTGAGAATAAATTTGTTTAGTTATCACTATTTTTATCTTTTAAATACCCCTACTTTTTATTATATTAATTTATTCTGAATCAATTAGTAATTATACTTTTTGTACTTTGTTTGTGATAACTAGAAATAATTGAAAAAATACTTTTTTATCCAGATACTTTTTTAAGTAATTGTGTAAAATGGTAAATTATATACCTTTTAAGAATATATGTTTTTATTAATTGATTAATTCTATGAGAAGCTTTCTAATAAACAGTAATATTTACAAAGCAAACATTTCAAATAGTTATTTAAAATTAATAAAAGCAAAAAATCATTATTTATAATTGTTTCTCACATGAACTAAAAAAACCTCGAATGTATTAATATATGAAATGTTAATTTATAAAATAAATCTATATTGAGGTTTGAATTACAAAGTCTATTTTTTGTTCATAATTATAATGACCATTTTAATGAGTATATGAATTAATTTTTTAAATAGAAATAAAACATATTATTAATTAAGGGGGTGAATGTTTTCATAATATATTAAAAAAAGTTATAGAAAATGCATTAATTATTTATGTCTGAATTTGATGCTACTGTGCTTCTTAACAGAGGTAAATCATTTTGTCAAATAATCAAGAAATGTATTTTATGAAAAAGGAGAAAATGAAAAAGCACTCCAAGACCACAATATGGCCATCCTATTAAATCCAAATAATGCTGAAGCGCATATGAACAGAGGTAAATCATCTAGTTATATAATTAGGAGTTCTATTTGATAAAATAGGAGAAAAAGAAAAAGCACGCCAAGGCTATTAAAAGGCTCTCCTATTATAATCAGATTATCCACTTATTGTAACAAATTTAGGAAGTCTCTATTTTAAATAAAAATAATTTTCTTAAGCAAATATTTATTTTACAAAAGCACAAGAATCATTAGATTCGATTAATCAACAATAGATATCGAAATGGAATTTATCTAATTCAAATCTTACATATATTAAAATAGAACTTAATCTACTTAGAGAAATTTAAATTCGATATAAACAACAGATGTTTAAATTAATTATTTATCTTAATAATTATAAAGATAGAAATCTTTTTAATTAGAGGAATAAGCCTAGAAACTAGTAAATGAATTTACATAACAAATAAAGCCATTAGATACTTAATTAAATTTAAATCAATATACAATCTACTTTTAGATTTTGGAACAATTTGAAAAAGGTTTAATGATTTTTTAAACCAAATAACTACGCTCACAATAAATGTCAATTTACTTTTAGAATAAGATAATTATAAGGTTTTGAATCTCTAAAACAATTAAATAAAAAGAAAATAAGAATTAAATGATGTATTATAATGCTTTAGCTTGGAGATTGTATAATTATTTATCTGCAATGTAATAGATTTCACTAATCTATTTTAAGTTAATAAAAATGCAATAATCGAAAGTAAGTATGAATAAACTTTAAATGTTTTTCAAAAGATGTTAAATATAGGATCCT